TTATTAATCAAGAGTTAACATTAATGTGATGTAATGTGATGTAATGTAATGTAATGTAATGTAATGTAAGGTATGTGTGTGTGTGTATGCATGGATGCATGCATGCAGCTGAAGAATGTACAACAAGTCCATGCATCTGAGCGTGCTTTTGTTGCCATTCTGGGTGATTGCTTCGTCGTGACCTGCAGAGATGCCCACAACAGTGGCGACAGCAGTTCTGTGCAGGATGAGCATGGATCAGCTAAAGAATGTGCAGCAGATCCAGGCGTCTAATAGGCATGCTTTGGCCGTTACTTAGGGCCATGGATCTGTCGTGACGTGGGCCCATGCTGTCTTGGGTGGCGACGCTGGTGCCGTCCGGCATCGGCTGGAAAATGTGCAGCAGATCCATACCGCGTTTGCTGCCATTGTGGGCGACGGATCTGTGGTAACCGGGGTTATCGATAATCGGGGCGGTGACAGTAGTTATGTACAGGGTCAGCTGAGGAATGTGCAACAAAACAAGGATTATAAATTTCGGAATCGTAAGAATAATCTGTCTAGTATTAATGACAACAGTACTACAAACACCACCAACTGTAATGACAATGATAATGCAAGGGTGCCTACTCCAGGTTCAGGCTACCATTGGGCTCAGGATGCGAAGGTATTTTGAGATCAAGGGGCTTCAAGAATGCGTAATGGTATCCCCCTTGCAGGGTCGAAAAAGCCACACTAGGATATGCCCCCAGAGCCCAGATCTAATCGTTCAGCCACCTCGATAAGGAGAGGACACACGGAGTAGAGGTTCGAATAATTTGTATGCAGGTTGTATTTTCTGCTCCGAGATTTGCTTGTGTGAAGGCAGCGGCCTGGCAACAAGCCCTTGAAGGTGGGCCGATCCTCACCTTTGCTTTAGGGTTTAGGTTTTAGGGTTTAGGGTATAAGGTTTACAAATAGGATCTGGGGTTGTCTGGGGTTTATAGTTGGGGATGTTCACAGTATGGCAGCTGGTTTTCACGATGTAGCGCTTGAGTGCCGTCGCTCCATCGACTCCTCAAGGCCAGGTGCCCCCTAAGCCCTCAGGCACATTCGCAAGCTTTGCCTTCACTCATCCGTGCATATTGGCACCGGGGTCCTGCTAATCATGGCAATGTAAAACCTCGAGCAATGCGAGCCTACGACTGCAGGTAGTCATTGTTCGTGCGGGTCCCGCCCCGCGAGCCGCCACCCGATCCGAAGTTTGCTGCACCTTCTCATGCAAACGGTTCTGAAGGGTAATACAGAGGGTCAGGGACATACTGTATCTCCCCTGGTGATGCAAGGTTTACAGTCTACAGCGTGCAGCAAAGTCAATTTTTTGCCGGGCTCGTTGGCCTGCTGCAAACCTCAAGTTTTGTCGAGGCTGGTTTGCAAAAGGCTCCTGCAGTCTTCTGCAGAGGCACACGAGGTCTTTGCGCAGACTCTTCTCATCATCACTGATTCAGGGAGCCCTCTGCCACCTTTCGGTGCCCACAACCAACCCATGGGTTGCAGACCCCCACCTGAAGCCTTCAAATCACGCGAAAGCCGTAAATCCTGCAAGGCAGTCTCGAAGAGATCGGAGGCAGCACCTCTCTGCAGACGGCCTCGGCGGCCCTTCTTCATGCCCTCGTCTTCGACGTAGATGCATCTTGGAACACAGTGAGGTTCGGGCCGGGCCGCCGGGTTCTTTGGCAGTTCTGGACGTTTAGCCGCTGGTCTGGCGGACTCAAGTTCGGCGCCTCTCGCACCCTTGCAGGCCGCTCGTGTGGCAGAGTCGGCAAACTGTAGAAGTCCTTCGCTGGCGCGGGATGATGGCATCATCGCATGTCGCGAACCGTTCATTGGCCTCTGGATCGCCAGAAACACGCTAAATCCCTGAATATTTTGGCATTGGGAGACGCGCCTGCAAACCCGGGCCCAATCCCAACGGAGTGGATCCACATTATAGGCGGTGTCTTGTGCTTAATTACTTAGACGCAGTGCTTCCTCACACCTGTAAGTTCCTCCTCACGCTGCGATACTCTTGATCAGAGTGTCGAAACCCTCCAGCTAGCCGAGCTTCTTGGGACACCCCTCACGTCTTCAGCATTGTTGTTGCTCTTAGAAATATTTTTGCTAATTTGTTTATTACTATTGGCCACCATCCCGAACCCCGGGCTAAACTCAAAACCTTAATCCCTAGCCTTAAATTACTTACTCCCTAGATCCCATTTCGATGTAGATTCCGGCTAAGATCAGCCAAGGCAGGCTTCACTGTGGTCGACACGCCGCTCGCGGCCGCCACGACGTCTTTCCGTGGCGCGTATCCAATTTGGCTCTTGAGGGGCTTATGGACTCTGCTTTTTGGATAAGGATCTCGGTTCGCCTTCGTTTGTCGAAGTGTGAAGCTGTCGTTTGCCCGCGCATTCGAATGGCTTGATTACACCTCCTGTTCGTAGGATCCCAGGATCAAACTTATCACCAAAAGTCTGTATCACAAGCGGCTACTGCCGAGAAAGCATGACAGCATTCTGATGCATGGGCTGGCTCCCATAAGGGTCTCGGTTGGTAAGCCTCAGGAAATGTGCGGACTTGGTTCAAAGCTGCCCAAGATTCGGGGCCTGCGCAAGTATCTCGAAAGCGTACATCCAGATGTACGAGACCCCTATGTAAACCTAAACCCTAAACCTGATAAACCTTAAACCGTAAACCCTAAACTTATGTGTGGAGCCTTGCCTGCCTTGTGCGAGAGAATACCCATAATAATTATAATAAGGAACCCCCAAAACCCTATTGTAATTATTAAGGCCCCTACAGTACCTCACTGAACTAGGAGGACTCTTTCTTTACCCTAAACCCTAAAAACCCTAAACCCTAAACCCCTAAACCCTTGCTGGCTTTCGCCAATGAGCGGTCGCAGTCGTGGTACTCGAATCCTCGCCTGGCTTGTCCTAATCGTGAGTGCTGAAACCCTAAAACCCTAAACCCTAAAACCCTAAACCCTAAAACCCTAAACCCTAAAACCCTAAACCCTATGAATCCCTTTTTTTGAGCTCAGGTGGGCCTCGCTGGGAGCGGCTCTTGCTGCCTTGTGTGGGGCCAGAGCCCTGACAAAACCATAATAGTAATAGTAAATCATAATAAAAGTAACAGCAACAACAACAATAATAATAGCAATAAGTAGTAATAACAAGAATCAGAACTGATTATTTGGCTTATAACTCATACCTTTTTTCTTTCTAAAGAGCCCAAGCATGTGCAGTGCATTTGGCAAAGACGTTTGAGGAGATATGGCGAATGGATGTCGATGATGCGCGCGCCGCTGCTTCTCGACAGAGGTTCAGAAGCCCGTGGTCTATCACTCAACAGCTGGCTTCCTGCATCGAATATCTACATGCTGGTTTATGACCCCTCTTTGGAAAGGATAACTGCGATCCTCATTATGCTGTCCATAGAACGGCGCCCGGCTGTAAACAGTACAACCCCAGCACATGAGCGTTTGTCGTCGGAGCGTACTTGTGAACTGTGAAGCTTGCAATTGATAACTATTGATAGCTGTTTTAAGTGACTGCCAACCGTCTTGGATTTCCACCCGACATGTCCGTGCGGAGAGAGGGAGACAAGGCACGAACATGTGTGCAGAGACTGCTTCTCCTGGTGATTAGGCCTTGTTCGTCCAGCAGTGGGCGGGTACCTTTGTCGGCGTTGGCACTGGTGCAGTAGCACGCTTTGGCATGAAGACGCCGGTGGAGCTCCAGGAGCGAACTGTTTGTAGTACGATCACCATCTTAATATTCTTAGTGTTGTTACTCATATGTTATGGCTTCTGCGGGCTGAATGTCGTTTGAAACATCATTTATCGAGTGTCGCGTTCTTTCTCTCTCTCTCTCTCTCTTTCGTTATCTATCGTTCACTTCTAAATTTCTAAATCAAAACCCCAAAACAGATCTGCATTGCAATCTACAGAACGACATGAAAGGGCCCAAGCCACGAAGCCACTAGGCCCGAAACACGGGATTTGCAGCAGCTGCCTTGTTGAGTCTGTCATCTCAAGAAACATGTCAGCCAAGCCCTGAACCATCCGGTCACACTTTGGGACGTGCATTCCTCTATATACCCAAATGTGGGACGGTCTCAGGAGACATCTTGCGGCTGTTTGCTCAAATTCCGTCCCGTCGGCACCCCACCGGCCAAGAAGTTTGAGGAGCTTGAAGAAGGCTGGTCTCTGTTTCTTAGATACCCTAAGGGTCCATGTACCCAAACAGTATATACTTTGGGCCTTAATGTAGTACCTATATAGGTACTATAGGGCCAATGTATATACTATTTGGGCACATGGACCCTTAGGGATAGTCTTTTGGCTTCAAGAGTGTACTGACCTGCATCGATGGGAAAGCTAACGCAATTGCATCATGATGAGCCTGGAGGTCTCGTTACTTCACCGTATATGCCCTTTCCTACAACGTGTATTGTGTTGGTGCCGCCTTGTGTTGGCGTAGAGTAGCGGACAAACACTGCTACTGCCAGAGGCGTTTGCCGGTGCTAATGCAAGTACGACGACGACGGCTGCCGCTGCTGCTGCTGCTGCTGCTACTTTTCTTCCTGCTACGTCATCTTTTTTTGTTGACTGCTGGTAATATCATCGTACAGATGTTGCGATATTTGTAGATGAGTGCTTTGCCGTAAACATCAGCATCATCACGGTTGTTACAGATTGTCATCAGCGGACTTCCTGGTTCGAGGAGAGTGTCAGCAAGGTCGTATATCGACCACGAGCCTGTTTTGACAGTGGCAGCTTTATATGCGCATCCCTTATGTCGTGAGGCAGTTCTAGTAAGAATGTTTTTGTGGAACTGCGCCTGCGCTGCCATCGCTCCGGCACTGATTTAGGTACAGCTTCGAGGCAGTCATCGGAGGTCAAACATCTCCGACAAACAAAATATGAACACCTCAAGTCCTTTACCGCCATCCCCATTTGCTTCACCCGTCAACGCAAGCCTTCCTTATTAAAACAACTAACCGAAACAAGGCTGCTGTCGAGCAGAAGCCTACGCTTAGCCATCTATATGCCTGTGCCTCGCTGCATGCAGAGAGGCGGTGTCGAATTCCTGGCCGAGGCGACAGCTTCAAGCCTTGGCATGAGGGGTCAGCAGAACAGAGTAGTTTCGTTCTGTGGGCACTCGTAGAATAGACGACGATGAGGGGCAAAATTCAAGTTTGCCATGTTGCTAGGTGGATATAGGTGGGGTGGTGATCAAGAGATCTGCGGGCAGGCTGGTACTGATACGCCCAGATACAGTATGATACAACAAGATGTGTCAGCGGATACAGTGCCATGTTGTGAAGGCATCCCTGTATTTATTTGGTGATGGACATTCCCCTAAACTTTCAACCCTAGATCCTAAATCCGAGACCTTAAATCCGTTGCGCCAGAAACTGCAAGCTCCGAGCTCCAACCCGCCCCCAACATTGATTACGAAACCGAAGCCCTATAATGCCTGGGCTAAAGTTTTATTGCGGTTTAGGGCCTGCTAGGCCGTGGCACATCTTTGCGCCGTTTTACTCGCCAGGCTGTTGTTGCAGACCTTGCCTTGCTTGTCCAAGTGTGAGTGGCCAAACGTTCAGAAAGGTACGCGTATCTCATGGTAGTGGGCCTCTACCGATCTACCGATGCCGACGCCAGGGCTTTGGACCTCACTTGAGGGCGGAGGCCATGATGATGACATTGAATATCTTAATCCCTATGGCCCTATAGGAGAGCCCGCTGAACACCGTCTCAAACACTGAACTCTGGAGCATGACGGGGCTTTTCGTGGAGAGTCCGACTTGCCAGAGTCTACAGCTCTAAACCCAAACCCCAAACTAAACAAATATCGCACATCCAAACCCTGAAACCTCTACAAACGCGAGATCGGACATAAAAGGCCTTAACCCCTACACCCTAATTTAAAAGGCCCCGGAGGGAGAGCAGCCTCGTCTTCGTGTTCGGCGCGCGGCGTACAGCGCCAAGGCAGGCGGCATCCAGAGCGATTTTCTGTAAGGGTTTAGGGTCTATATGGGTCTATAGGGTTAAGCCCATCTTGGCCAAATCCCTCTACCTGTCCTTTTGTGAAAATCGGTATGGGGAAGAAGACCATGACCAAAGAAGCGCATGATGTTAAAGATTCTGGAATCCAGGATGGCGACGATTGACTTTGCAACACCAGCCTTAGCAACTAACTGTCGCGAAGAAGTGTCTAGTCTCCCGACCAGCCGATTTTGTTAAGTTCATTGCCGGCATCCCGAAGCTTTAAGCTCTGAGAAGGTAGGTATTCGGTGTGGCCTGGTCCAGCTTTGTCTGTCTCATCTTTGCAGAATGCTTCGTAAAGCCAGGCGTTTGGGCATACGAGCATTCGGAACAAGCGGACTTGATGGAATCGATTACAGAATGTCTCCCTTGGGCTTCTGGATCATGTTGCCAAGAATTTGCGAACTTGCTTTCGTGATGGCTTTGGGGAGTGCCCTCGGACAAACATCGCTCCAGCTTTGCGCTCACCCTGTCCAGACCGGAAGTCGAACTGCTGGCACGTACCATGCACATGGGACCTTTGTGCTCTTCCCAATAAAGGCCTGGCTGCTTTATGGCCGGAGCTTGAAAGATGTTTGTGCCTTGCAAGCCCGGAACCATCGTAAGCCTTTCCTGTTTTGTGGAAGTCGATCGCCGCTACGTTCAGCTCCCCCTGGGCCACAGGAGTCCGCACCGTCCCCTGTGAAACCCCCGCAAGCTCGTGTGACCTTGTCCCAGTCACGGAGGCAGTGGTGAAAGCCAACTCTGAGAGAGCTTTACTGGAGCAGTTTCAGCGAGATTGGGCTGAAGCCCGACAAGCTACCAGGCTCCCCTGGGCCGTCTTCTAAGCTGTCTACTTGCTTTGGAATGCTCGTTGGCTTGCCTGTAACATAAAGTTGATGCCTCACATGAAAAGGGTGGATGACAGCAGAGACTGCGCAGTTGCTTCTGTTTATGTCAGCTCAAGCTCCCTGCCTGTGTCTCACACGGGAGCTTCAGGGAACTGTGGGTCCCTTATTCAAGGCCTTTTTTTAAACAGGGAGCCTACGCTTCAGGTTCTTTTAGAGATCTCTAAGTCTAAGCTCCCACACCATTTTTCCGGCAAGGGGACTCCTTGATTGGTTTACGGCGAGAGGTTCGGAAAATCACTGCATTCCGCATGGAGCCACACGCTGAGCCGGACCCTTCTGGCGTAGAATGGTTCATGATCCCTTCGCCATACATGTAGTTGCCAAGACTTCAGAGCAGAAGATACATATGATCAGCACATACATGTACACCCATAACATTTTATGATTATGCATGCACAAATACATGCTGTGCAGTCAAGAATACACACGCACATGCACATGACTCCCTTTTTCAGAAACAGTATATCTGTTTTACGTACATACACGCACACACTCCTACATAGATATAAAAAACATTCAAATACACAAGCGTACATAGACATAGACATAACCGTATACATACGCGTGTACACATGCACACACATGTATGTGCATATATATATATATGTGTGTGTTTGTATATGTACACATATAATAACAATAAGAATAATGCAAATATATGTTTATAAAAAACACGCCATAGACATATACATACATACCTACGCACCTGTACGTACGTATGTACATTCATACATACATACAGACATATATATATATAATATAATAATAATTAACTATATATATATATATGTACACATGTGTGTGTTTATGATCTGCGGACACCATTTCGCTGTTCTGTAAGCAATCGAAAGGTTGGGGCATTGCACTGCGTGGCTCAAGATTAGATTGCCTTGTGCACAAATTGGATCAGGCAAACCACGAAACACCGAACATCAAAACAATATTCCGCTTACATAGGCTCGTAGCCCAGGCCATTTGCTTAGCCGGAGGGGGCTGTGGAAAGCTGCAGCGGACACGAGAAAATCCGAACACTGTCGTGTGTCTCCTGCCTCGGTAGCTCAACATCTTACGTGAACATTGAAATCCCATCCACCCAAAGTCACAAAACCTTGTAAAATTACATCCCAGGTTTCTCTCATAAAAGACACCGAGCAAAGCTGTACCACACAAGCTCGCCAGACCTTCACCACCAAAGCTGTTGTGCACGCGATGGCTCTTCTCGACCGCGAGCGACTGTGCCGTATTGAAGAGCTCGCAAACCAGGCGACCCGGGAATCTCGTGTTTGGCGCTTCCCTTGCAAAAATGCTAGACAACTTGACAATTGCAGGGATAGGGCGGGCAACGCGAAGCAGTTTCGCTGATGAAGTGCCGCAGCTCCCAATCCCTCGCCCAATGTTTGGGAACAGCCCCAGCCGGTCAGTGCACTTGGCTGAGACGGGTGGTGTTGCTTCTGTCAGTTTGGTTGTCGTTGATGGCATCTCAGGCCCACCTGCCCCTAAGTACCAAACCAGTTCAAGTTGGGCTCGACTCGGGATGCCGCTCTGCGATTGCGGCGAATCACACTGCAGCTCGGTGAGTCACTGCTAAGCATGCTCTGAACACGTTGCAAAGTGCCGTTGTGGATCCTGGCAGCTGCACCCTTCGCAAAACTCGTCGCAGGGATGTTTCGCGGGCGGCGTTCCAAAAGACATGCCGAACATTCGGGCTTCATCACTGTGGAGCATTGCGAGGTCCTCCAAACGCAGGAGAAGCTTGTGGAGTTGGACCGCCAGAGAAACGGCCGGCGAGAGGCAGGGCCTTCATTGCTGGATTTGTTGTATGGCAGGATGTGTCGTTGCAATCATCGTAGAGTTGGAGCAGTATCAGCCGCAGAGTTTTCGCACCACCGTCGCCGTACTGGTAAAGCTCGTTGGTGATGATGGCAACGCAACGGGAGAGACAGCATGTGTGTCTTTGTGTGTGTGTGCACCTGGCACATGAGGCCTTCCACAAGCTAGCACAGATCCGACGAACCCTGGGAGCTTCCTTGACCGAAGCCTTCGTTCTATGTGCTGAAGTTTAGGCTTTCCTCTGAGTCTGAGAGTCGGACCTCGCACCAGCCGATATGGGAGGCTTTGGGTGCTTTTCGCCGTGGAGAAGCCAACGTCCGGCCGAGCCCTTGTGGAAGATGGGCTTCCTTTCAGGGCCCCTTTTTACAGCGGACGCCAGGAATGGAACTTGGATTTGCTGCCATTGCCGTAGTTTTGGGAAGCAGGCCTCAAGTTCAGCATTTGCCGTCAGTAGACAGTTATGTATAATTTGTGCTGACCGGGGTCTTAGAGATTCTTAGAGTTAGACGCTGCAGACTTGGTCCAAGCCTCGCCAAATGCTACATTTCAACACAGGGAACCGTGATGCCTGATGAAATTGGCGGTCGTCAGGGGTGCCCCCCCTATCGAAAGGTTATCTTCCGGCCCCAGCCATCATCAGACCCTGCATCGTAGGTTCGTCCTAGCCAGGCGGGAGGCAAAAAAGAAATCTTCCGGTCGAACCGCCTGGCACAGTTTGAAATCCTCGAGCCTAGAGCAGCCTTATAAGCCTCAAGCCCTGCACCACGCTGTGGAGGCTTCGCCAAAGGACACCCGGAGTCCTTGATCGGAAAACCACACGACGAAGGATCCAAAACCTAGGTGCCAAACCACAAAGCAAAACCCTTTGAGACATTTGTGAGTCGGTAAGCCCAGGTCGTCGCAGTGGATGGCCACACAGGGCCAGTTCATCCGCCTGCCCGGGAAAACTGCGAGGTGTAGGGCCGTAGGGCTGCGAGCGTGGGATTTGGTATTGGTGACCGTGAAGTCTAAGGCTTATGGCGAATCAGCAGAGAAAGAATACTGTTGTTCCGTAGCCTTAAACCTTAAGCCTTATAACTTATAACACTCCCCGGTATGGTTTGTCGCTCTTGGCAGGTCCTGGCTGACAGAGCAGCAGCAGGACCGGTCGGATGCGCTGGGGCCTTGCTGGCAGTGGCAGGTGTTCTTAGCATGTAGAGTCCAGGGCGTGTCTAGAGGCAGGATCTTAGCAGGGTGCGGTGCAATAGCGCATGTGCGCCAATGAAGCACCCACAGTATGCAGTGGCAACGGCCACAGGGCCTTCACCCTAAACCCTAAACCAATATCCTGGAACCCTAAACCTAAACTGTTGAGAAGTGCTTCGCCTCGCCAAGACCTCGACATGCAGCCCTGTGAGGACACCGAGAGGCAAATCGCAACGGCCCGGAGCGACCTGAAGGCTTGAACTCCTCGGTCCTAGGTCATCGTAGTCCCTATACCAGTATGGTTACTATTTATGGGTGCTATGATGGGTATGATTCTTGGACCTATAATCATTCCCATGATAGTACCCGGAATAGTAACCATACTGGTATCCCTGAAGCTGCCTCTAATATCCAGCCTTTGTTAGTGTTGGATCTGCAGCGGTTACTAGGGCCGACACAAGGCACCATGAGCATCGGTCAGCTGTGATCTGTATGCCAAGCAAGAGCTACGTGTGCACTGAGGTTGCCATGTTAGAGTTTTCCGATGTTGCTTTCGGCTTTGGACCGTGCTTTGCGATTCCTCTGTTCTGGAAGGAGCATCGTGGACCCCAGTCTGAGTAGAATGAGTTGCTTCGGTGAGGGCAGCATCTTGATTTGCTTGCAGCGTTTGTCAAAGTCGCAGTGGCATCCGCGAGCCTCGAGCCACTGAGAGATGCAGGTGCAGCTGCAGGATCTGCTGGCGGAGCACCCTCGGGTTCCCTGGCATCTCTTTGTTTAGTGCAGCGCCGGACGACTCTCCAGCTGACAATTTTTTTGGCCACTGTCTTGGAGACCTCCGAACACGCTCCTCACCCGTGAGCTTTCGAGTTGCGCCACAGACCTCAGAGCCTTCGACTACCAAAAGCCTGAAGCCATAAAGCCTCAAACCTAAGGCATTAGGTTACCGACACCCTTACCCTGAGGTACGAACAACAATAGACACCCCAAACGGCCCAAGACCCTGTCAAAGAAACGCTTAACACACTGTAAGCATCTCTGCTAACAAGTTCTTCTAGCTAGCTATTCAAGCCCCGTCTGTGGCCATGAGGTCACCGATCTCCCTGCAGGGGTCTCCGCGTTGCTGCTCTCCGAGCAGCGGCCCGCAGAGGCTTCGTGGCCGGGGGGTTGAGGGGCTTAGGGTTTAAGGCTTACATAGTTAGGGGTCCTATCATAGCGAGGCTTCTATGCTTGAGTGTGGGTTTCACACGGTGTTACATGTGGGTTAAAGACGTGTATCTCTACATGTATAAGAATAAGAGTAAGAAAAAACATAAGAAGAATAATTAGTATTAGTCTTCTTAATGTTGCTATCATTATATATATATATATATGTATGCATGTGTGTGTATATGTATGTATGTACATATATGGGCAGCGCTCTAAATACCCTGTCGCGAAGTTTATACAAAAGGACCTATTTGGTTGCTGGGGTCTAGATTTGTATGTTCAACAAGAGGCGTCACGCAACTAGGGCTCGTTAA